TCTTTTTTAAGTTCCGTCAGTTATGTGCCATACATGATACACGCTTAGACGATAATGAACCTTTCAATACATGACTGACGAGGTTGCCATTTCTTTCTGCGGTAAACCAGTTGCCATTTCTTTCTGCAGTAGACCAGTTGCCATTTCTTTCTGCAGTAGACCAGTTGCCATCCAAGGCTACAGAACCCGGTCTGTCCTGCTATTTACCTATAGCTAGTGGGGAGAAGAAGAGGATTCATACCTTTCCAAGAGGTATTACCACGTAAGTGAATGTAATGGATTCGACTGGAATTCGAACCCGGCTCAATCCGAGCTGCTATCCACTATTCCGCCATGCATCCTCCACAATATTAAGTTACTATATAGTAACTTAAAAATAAAATACACATACATATTTTTATTTATTTACAATAGTTTCGTACTGTATTGTGTGGTTTTCGGCCACGAAAAATATTTAAAATTAACGGACAAACGGCTTTAATAGACGACCCCCCTTATTAGTCCGTCAAATTGAGGTTCCACTATATGTGTGTGTGTTTCTGTTTATATATATTTATATTTATATATATTTATATATATATATATATATATATATATATATATATATATATATATATATATAATGCAAGACTTTTTCAGTAAAACGAGTCGCGTTCTCTCAGTCACCGTGTGTTTATCTAAAAATAAATACGCTTAAATTCACTTTCATCACTACCGTGCTTAGTGGTAGAATCCCCCGACTGACGCCAATTCAGTTTGGTTTCGATCTAGCTAGAAGCAACCGGGGGATACAGCGAAACAGTCTGTCTGTGGATGACAATATATATATATATATATATATGTATATGTGTGTGTGTGTGTGTGTGTGTGTGTAGAGAGAGAGAGAGATTGCGAGGAGAGAGAGGGTAGAGAGATGGAGGCAGAAAAATGGGATAAAGCCAGAAACTGGTTTTGATCATGCCTACATGTTTGCATCAAATAATATACTGCATAAAAATCAATACGAATTATAATCCTTTTTCTTCCCCACAAAGGGAGATAACCGAGTCGATTTAAATTAAATTATTAATATTATTTCAATAGACTTCATCGACGCCATTTTATTTTACTGTAAGCAACTAGTCATTAATTATCTAATCAGATTATATAAGTAAATAATTTCTTAATGTTCGTAATAAAAACGCTTAGTGAAAAGCGTCATTGCATTAGAAAGAAATCAGTTTTCTTTTAAAAAATATTATTTATTGGATTTTGTATAGCTTTAGAACTTTTGAAGAGTAATGTTTTCGTTGTTATTTAATAATATGTTAGTAGTGTTCATGTGAAAATATAATTTTAAAACATGAAAAACATTTATTTATTTGATTAAATAAATAAAAATAAAATTTGAACAGAAACTGTCTGACACAAGGAGTGTTGACACAAATTGTCAGAAACGAAGCCATACTTATCATGAACAAATATAAATTCGCAAATGACTGAATGTAAACACATCATATGTGAAGTTTGGTTCTATAACGGATGTGAATTTTGTACAAATGCCAAATAATCTATTTTTTTCATTTCATTATTTTAATTAATTTTATTCTTGACTTTAAATTTTAATTTCATTTTTAATTTAATTTTTTTAATATATATTTTTTTGTAAAATTCACATTCTTTTAAAATATCAATATCTTAAATTTTACTTTTTGTTTTAAAGAGGTGAAATTTATAGTATTATTTTTGGAAAATTTCAATACATGATAGAGTATTCAACCTCCGATGTTCATCTTTCGTTTCCCCAGAAAGATAGGATATTATATAAATATATGAATATATATATATATATATATATATATATATATATATATATATATATATATATATATATATATATATATATATGCACATACATACATACATATATATACTAAATCGTTTCTCTGCTGCAAGTAAAGCATTTGGTCTTACACTTAGCATAAAGAAAGTTGTGCACCAGCCTTGTCCTACTCCCAAGCAATTGCGTAGTGAGAAACAAAAAACACCAGGGTTAATCTGTGCAATCTGTGGAGTTCAGCTTCAAGCTAGGACATCTAACGTAGACCTATTTAACAGGTGTAACATTGGAGGAATCGAGAATTTTCTCATACAGTCTCAATTACGGTGGACTGGTCATGTCTTGAGAATGTCTGATGACAGGATACCCAAGATCCTAATGTACAGCCAGTTAGATCAGGGCTACAGGAATGTAGGACGCCCATGCCTAAGAGACAAAGACAAGCCGAAAAGCAACTTGTCAGCAGTCAGTATACCACTTAATGGATATCGGCTTGGATTGTGGAATCGGAGGGCCGAGTTCGAATCCAGGTTGAATCCATTACATTCACTTACGTGCTAATACCCTTGGGAAAGGTGTGAATCCTATTCTTCTCCCTCCAGCTATGGGTTAAATAGAAGGACAGACTGGGTTCTATAGCCTTGGATGGCAACTGATCTAGGAGAAGGACAACTCTGAATGAAAACCTGGGGGGGTTTGGAGACCTTGTGGCCCGTAGTGCACCATGGTCTCTGTATTCAACCCTTCAAAAGTGTGGATGGTCCTGCGCGAAACCTTCACCACTATAATCGAATCTCATGTGCCGGTGTCGGGCTGTCAGTTTCCTGAAACTGATCTGCTTGACCTCATACGTCGAACCCGACGGGAGAATCGATTTTATATATATATATATATATATATATATATATATATATATATATATATATTCTGTTGATACGTTATTTTTATGGGTACAATTTATGAGTTAATGCTCTGTTTTAATTACATTTACAGGCTTGAATGTTCTAGAAATCTCGTAGAAAACATGCGTAAAATCAAAGGAAATATTGAAGGGGCGAAAGAGAGAGGAAACCTTACAACCTACCCGGAGAGCTTGTATAAATGCACGATAGAACATTGGAATGGGAGGGATAGCAAGGAAACAAGTATTGCTTTGAGCTACAAAGGATGTAATTTCTGGATTGATGCGATCAGCCACGTCATCATGAGACTTGGCAAAATAAAAGAACCAAAATCCAACTCAGACATCATAAAAGACAGCTGAATAGTGAAAGATGCATTTTAGAAACTTAGCAAACTATCAAGAGATAGGAAAATGTCGTAAGAAACAAAGAAAATAGTGCTGGATTGTTATATAATATATATTATTCTGTGTGTTAGTTCTGCCAGTCAATCAGACAAAGTAAACCAGCTACTCTTGAATAGGGGCTCTAAACAATTGGGTCATTGTGTCCTACCAGAAAATCTTTTTCACGTCAGAATTCATCATACACATTTATAGATCTGTTGGACAATTTCCTCATAGTTGAAGACGATAGTTAAAGAAAATGAGATGATGTTCTACGGAAGGCTGCTGAGAATAACTATTTGCGCCTGTCTTAGTCTCAAGTCCGACAGATCCAACATAGTAAACCTGGCAAATACTATTGAAAAAGACCTCCAATCAGTTGTTAACAAAAGCGAGAAATGGCTTGTAAATTTTAAGCCTCCAAACCAAACTGTTTCATTTAATTACCACAGAGAATCTTTTTTGCCTACCGTCAGCATGGTGGATGCAAAAATCCAAGAAGAGCAACACTCCATGTCTCATGTTTTCCATTATCATGAAATGGAGTGACTATATTGAATCAATTGCTACATCTAATGTTTAGAAATTTGGTTCACTTTGTCATGCCTGAAGTTTTTCCTCGTCAGAATCCATCTTGCACATGTATAAATCTATCATTTATCCGTGCATTGGATATTGCTATCATATCTGGGCTGGTGCTCCTGTTAAATATCTTGAGATCCTCACCAAAATCCAAAGAATATAATGTTATTGGTCCTCACATAGAATCACGTCTTTACTTTCCCACCGCCAAAGTTTTTCTTATCAGAATTCATCTTGTACATTTATAAATCTACCATTTGTCCGTGCATTGAATATTGCTGCCATATCTGGTCTGGTGCTCCTGTTATATATCTTGAGATTCTCACCAAAATCCAAAGAATATAATGTTATTGGTCCTCACATAGAATCACGTCTTTACTTTCCCACCGCCAAAGTTTTTCTTATCAGAATTCATCTTGCACATTTATAAATCTACCATTTTTCCGTGCATTGAATATTGCTGCCATATCTGGTCTGGTGCTCCTGTTATATATCTTGAGATTCTCACCAAAATCCAAAGAATGTAATGTTATTGGTCCTCACCTAGAATAACGACTTTACTTTCCCACCGCCAAAGTTTTTCTTATCAGAATTCATCTTGCACATTTATAAATCTACCATTTGTCCGCGCATTGGATATTGCTGCCATATCTGGTCTGGTGCTCCTGCTATACATCTCCAGATTCTTGACACAATACAAAGCAAGATCTGTTATCTAATCAATCCTAACCAAGAACCCCGACTTCAATCATTTTCTCACCGACGTAACGTGGCTACCCTGTGTCTTTTCTACAAATATGGTCATGGCAACTACTCTGACGAGGTTTGTTTTTTTACCTGCTGCCCCGAATACATGTATTTAATCTTATTATTAGATTGGCATTAAATCCCTCCCCTTTTACCGTTGGACACTTCTATTCCAACAGTTGCTCTTGCTTGCTTCCCTGATGATATGTAATAATTTCAATGCAACATCAATCGACATATTCTGCCACCTTGAATTCCACTCATTTTTTGTCCTTTCTGCAATCATCCTTCTCTGTTTCTTTTTTTCTTTTTTCATGTTCGCTCTTTGCAATCCTCTGCGTCTAAGTGGTATTGCCGCCTTCTTATCTGGGGATTGATATAAAAAAAAAGAATGCTCTACAATTTCCTCATATGGGAAGGAGAGAATTATAGTGACATAAATATGGATTCTGAGAATACCATAGACTGAACATATGAACAACAAGGAAGTTTTAGGGAGAATAAGGACGACAGAAAAATCTATATCTGTCTATATTTCTGAGATGAGGTACTATGTACACTATT